ATTCACTGAGTGATTTGCAAAATCTGTTGAAGAGAGGGTCTCTAAAGATCCAGTAACCATTTTAGATATTTTCAAAGTTGTTAGGGTGTCCAGAATGTGAAATTTAAAATTCGAACCCTCTGGACAGATGCACATCTGGTAGCAAAGCGCTGTGCTGGATTTTGCAGGTAGATCACAAGAACAGAGAGCAGCACGGAGCCAGTTCACAAGGGTGCACAGAACATGATCCACGCTCACCCCGTACCACGAGAAGCAAACACGACGCACACGTGTTTTCTCACTGCGAGGGCAGTAACCTCACATCATGCTGGTAGCTTAATCCCTGCTAGTCAGACCCTTGAGAAGAAACTCAAACCTTTGGGAAGATTTCAGTTAGAAACACCATTGCATCGCCACTGGCAGTCCAAATACAAACAAGAAATTTTAAAATACCATATTGGCATCAGTGCCTGTCACCTGCCAAGGTGCACTGCTATAGAAAGACAAACTAAGGGTTCCCCGGACGAGCAGTGGGGAGCGGGGGCTGCCGCGGGTGCCGCACACTTACCATGCTGGCCGCGGCTGCGTCCCGGTGCCGCGGAGCCCGCGCTGGCCGCGCAGCTCGCCGTGCGCGCGCCTTAACGGAGCGGCGCTCCCTCATTTGCATGGGGCTGCATCACTGCCGACCCGCGGGCCGCCCGCCGGCGAGCTGGAGCGCTGAGCCGGGACGAGGGAGCCCACGGAGCGCGGGAATCCACACACCAGAGCACTTAGCCAGCTCCCACGTGCCTTTTCCTCACGTTTATCCCCAGGGGCTGCCCTGCCTGGGTCTGCCGGGTGGAAACGCTAATCCTTGTACAGAAAGTGAGGGCACCACGATTCCTTTCTACGTGGCCCCCCGGGTTCACGCCGGCCGATTTCGCAGTGGTGCAGGCAGCGCAACACGTCATCTTCTGCTTGGGATTTTCAATAGCTCGGGGTAAGATTGTGTCTAGGAGAGGTTTTAAATGAATCCTACACCCGCCCTGTGAAACACAAGCCTTCAAACGCTGCTGTTCAACTGCTGCTGCTCCAGCAGAGCCTGCGCCATGCGCCGTGTCAAGCCCCACAGAGCAGCCTTGCTTTCTCGCTCTGGTGCAGCGGATCCCAGGTATGGAGCAATGGGCACGTGTGCAGGAGCCCGGGAGCTGCCCGCTGCCT